AGTAATTCCTTCTCCAGAGCTTTCAGCGCACCGTTGTCACAGCCGTCGGCGCCAGCTCAAGCAGCCAAAGATGCCGGTTTCCCCAATGCTGTGTGCCGGTTCTGACGGTAATTTCAGGGAGCGGCATTAGCTCACAACCGCTGACGTCACCACAGGCAGAGGGAATATTCCAAGCTGACGTCATAAAGCAAGCTTCAGTCTGACAGAGCTAGGTAGATAGCCAGCCTCCAGGAGTCCAGGTACCTGAGGTACCTACCTAGCCTTGACGTTGTAGCCTGGTTTTGGGAGGCAGCAAGCAGCTTGAGCCTTGAAGTAGTTGGAACTTGAACTTGAAGTTCAACTTGTTGAAGTGTAGCTACAGACAAAGTCAGCTTAAAATCGGAGGACTGCATGCGAAGGTGGCAGCGGATAACAACCTTGGGGGAGGGAGGAGAAAGGAAAAACGAAGCAGAACCAGATCAGATTAGCTGCAGCGTCCTGGGGCGGTGACGTTGTTTTGTATGTGATAGCTCTGCCGGTTTGTGCAGCGCGGTGCCGCCATGGTGCAGTTCGGCCATCAGTTGGTGGCTCAGAGAGTGCCAGGATGGGAGAAGTGAGCTGCTGATACGCTTCAACCTCTCTGTCACTCGCAGCTTACCAGTTTGGCCTGCTTTCGACTTCATCGTCAGAGCTTGTAGAGATACCTATTTCTAAACCCTTGTCCGTTGCAGTGTCTATGTGGGTATGATGAAGGTTTGGGAGGGGTGTTCAAAAGGAGTGGAAAGAAGGGGAAAGGATTGGCCTTCAAGCGTCGCAACACTTCTTATCTTTTCACGAGTGCGCCGCTTGCGGGGTGAAACTTTCGGGTGATACTTGGTTTCGTTGAATCCATGTGGGGGCATCAGAAATTTGTCGCTTGTAGTTTCTCATACAAAATGTAATAAGCACCCCCCGGTGAGGTCCAGGAGCGACAGCCAAGTACAACTGACCAGTATTGGTGTCTTGATGTGTCCCTCAATGCCGCATGCTGCGCGCCCCAATCCATGTCTGCTTTTGCATTCAATCACTCCGGTCAACACATGTGACGTTAGAAAGTTTTGGTGAACTTTGCTGCTCAGGAGCGGCCGGCAAGTGACTGCTTTGGCGCCTCAATTTTGACATGGAACCAGGTTGTTTGTCGCTTCCATACCCTGGGCCTTTTAACACCTTCGAACAATCTTGTCAGCCCTTGTGAAGGATGGACTAAAAGCTAAGCAATGCTCCGTCTGGTCAATGACCGCAATGACCACTTTGGATGTTTCGCCAAGTGACTGGCTCTGATCGACATAGCCCAGCATCGGTCCGTAAGTGGCAACCTTGATAGTTCACAGATTCTGAACCACGTTCATGAATCATCTGTGATCAAATTAGTCCTGGTCTTTTACTTAGATAGTAGTTATTCTGAAGGTATAGAAAAGATTTGTCCTTGCGAATCTGTTGTTTGCGGCATTGCTGATGTTGAATAGTAGTCTTAGGGTACCGTCAGTTTGTAGTGGTACCGGGGTACCCTTCAGGCTCCTATCTTAAAAAGTCTTAAGTGCCCCAGCTAATGGCCTCAACCTCCCCTTCCCTCCCACCTTGCCTCAGCATATCAAGTTCCTAGCCCCGTACCTCCCTCCTTCAACAAAATACTGATTTGGCTGGCAACTCAAATTGACGGTACCCTTACACACTTGACTTGTCCTACAGAACCGATTGAGGTCTACAAGACTCTGTTCCATACAACCGTCTGGCTTTTCATGGCTCTGGTCACACCCATTTGTTGATATACTTCAATTTTAAAAGGAAGCGTTTTGTCAAATCGATCTGACTATAAGCAACTCGGGCCCACATTTGACGATGGTTCTTTGCAGTCATTACATCGACCAGAAGCGCGGAAAGAGGAAGATGGTTGCAGATCAAGCCGACTAAAAGCAACTTGGGCCCACTTTTTGACGATGTTTCTTTGCAGTCATTACATTGACTACAAGACCTTGAAGAAGAAGATCAAGGAGTTCCGGCCACGGCGTATCACCGCCACCGAGGATGAGATGGCAGAGCTGATCCGCGAGTTTGCGGAATCGCTTGACTACCAGGCAAGCTCATCTCGTCGGCGGTGTTGATTGCCCCTTTCTGTTGTTGCCCATGTGTTTGTGGCGCTTCTCTCGTCACTATAAAACTCATCAGTTCTAGATCCGGAGACGCTGACAGTGGCATGGCTGAGCTGGTTTGGAACTTTGCCGAGTCGCTTGACCACCAGCTGCGTGCTTTTGTAAGTTGATACGTTCTGACTCTGGCACCTCTTGCTCACGTCATAAGCACGTTTAAGGACGTGACCGGAGCATGTCAGAAACAAGTATCCTTCCGATTCGTTGTCTTTCAATCCCCTCTGAGAAAAGGAAATACACGTTTCCCAATTCTTTCTGCGAACATGCTCTCTCTACTTCGACAAAGGCTTGTTTTCAATATAGAAGATCCACACTTAGCAGATGTGTTTTCGGGCGACAAAAACGTCAATCAAGGCTTTCCTTCTCCTGCAACCCAGGTGAAGAATGTGGTCTTCTTCGTCATCCAGCAGGTTCGAGTTCCCCTGCACGAAATTTCTGGAACAACGGCTGAATTCAGAGACTTACAGAAGCAGAATCAGCGTGGGACCTCTTAAATGAGAGACTTTCAGAAGCAGAACTACCATGGGACGACACAAAAAGTGTGACCAGCAGATTTGCTTCTCGTATAGGTGGAGAAGGTGGTCCTCTTTTTCATCCAAGAGCAGGGCCAGCTGGCGGAGCACCTGATCGAACTACAGCACACGAAGGAGACGACTTTCAAAAAGAACGACATGGCCCAGGTCGCGGGTCTGATGGACGACTACCGCCACGTGAGTGCCAGCCGTACTCACAAATGTTGAAGATTCTGTGAAGGTGTGATGCCACTTCTGGCGACACATTGCTCGGTCTTGTAGACGAACAGATCCTTGCGGTATTGTCATCTTATCCGCCAGGCAATCTGGTTGATCAAGCGAACAAGTTTGGCGAACAAGGTCGGCCGCCTCTGAAGACGATGGTCGTCCAAAAATCCTAGTGCATTCGACACGCCGGATGGACGTTTTCCATTTTCTCGTACATTGTTTTTCTCCCGTTGTCGCTCGTTACGGGTGCCTGTTTATGTTGTCCTGCATGTAAGCGGGCCACCTACAAGTGTTGCCATTTGTGCCAGTTTGACCTGGAGCTCGCAGCAGATCACCCAAGGATTTGATCAGGAGAATCTACCTCTTGACTACGACCTTTACAAAGAGGTCTTTATGGTAGTCTTGATAGCTTTGAAGTTAGTCACGGGCCGTTGCTGCCGCATAGTCTCTGAATGCCTGATGTACGGCTTGGGCAAGATTACTGAGATCTCGAGAGACGTCACCGAGACTCTCAATAATTGTTGGAAGTTTATCGAACCCTAAATCTGAACGATACGGCTGATGTTGTTCTGTCTGGGTTCGATGACGAAGTGCTGCAACGTTCGAGTATGTAAAGTTGAATACAAGAGGCGTGCTCAATCTCATTCGTTCACACCTTCTAGACGTTTCCAACTGCTTCGTGACGCCTGCGGAGGGAAGTATCGTTTTCTTGGACTTGGTCAGTTTGCGTTTGCGCCATCTTTTCTCTTGTGTCAAGTGGAGCTGAACCTGACGGGCTTGCATTTTTTCGTATAAGATTGATTCCGGTGCCCTTAGAACTCTTCTTAGTTGTGTGATCATAGTAATCCTTGCCTAAAACAGATCGGTTACGAGCTGTTGCGACGGCTCCGGTTCGTCAAGCTGAATGTGACTGGCCTGCGCAAGATCATCAAGAATCTCAAAAATGATGGGACACGAGAGAAAGCTTCTTTTCCTTCAGTTCCTTTTTAGAAAGCTACCTAGTCTGTTGTTAGGAGACATACTCTTTGAAACTCAAGGTGGGTTACGAGTTGTTGCGCCTTCTCATGTCAACCGGAGAGGCCATCATAAGATTTTCGAAGGGTTTAACCAGCTTTCAATACCCAATCCTTTATATTCTATTGTTTCGCTAAAATTGCTTGCTTTATATTGTTGAACAGGTCGGTTACGAGCTGTTGCGGCTACTCAGATTCGTGAAGCTGAACCTGACGGGCTTGCGCAAGATCATCAAGAGAACCCAGAACGACCAAATGTTTGAGACCTTAGCCCCACAAGTTCTTCTTCTTTCCTAAAGGCTGAAATCCACTGTTTGACAATTAATCTTTTAAACCTCAGGTGGGTTACGAGCTGCTGCGGCTGCTCAGGTTCGTGAAGCTGAACCTGACGGGCCTGCGCAAGATCATCAAGAAGTTCGAGAAGAACCTGGGCGTGCGCGTCATGGAGCAGTACGTCGCGTCCCGGGGCCAGGGGCCGTATTCACAGCTCCAGCAGCTGTTCCGTACCACGGTGGGTGTGAATACCCCTTGTTTCAAGTGCCCCGTACCCGGTTTAAGTGCTTCGTCCGCAACTGGCGGAATATAGGTCGGATTCATTTGAGGTTTTTTGGCTGTAGAAGAGAACAGTCGCGGTTTAGAGCGCCGGCCTCGTCTTTTTCAGGGCTTCGGCCACCGCAAGAATACGCAACTCGAGGAACTTTGCACACAGCCGGCTAGTATCCCACCGCATGACTTCCTTGCGCTCTCCTAAACCTTCATATTGTCAACCTTTCACTGTCTCAACCCGTCATGTAGTCCTTTTCCAGAACCCCTTTTCCTCCTTGTTCCCATCACCTCTTTCAGGGCGTCAGCGCATTGGTTGGCGCCATTAACTGCAACCTCGAGGATCTTGCCTCATCAAACGACCTCGTATGCGCCTTTTCTGCACCCATCATCTTAACCTCTTTTTGTTACCTCCACTCAAGCCTCCCTTCACCTCCTCTCCCAGGGCGTTGGGGCACTGGTTGGCGCGATAACCCGCCACCGTGAAGAACTTTGCACAAAGCAGCGGATGCCTCACCCCACTACTCCTTTCGCGCTCATCGTGCACCCATCATAACCCTTCCACGACCTTCACTTAACTCAGCTATTAATGCTCCTTCAATGACGTCGTCTTTGCCAGGGCGTCGGCGCACTGGTTGACTGATGCCTGATTGCACCACTTCCTTTGCATCTTCCCTCTTCCGTGCACACATCATCTTAACCCCTTTGTTGACTTCCTCTTAACCCTCCCTTCACCTTCTCATCATCAGGGCGTCGGCGCATTCGTTGGCGCAATGACCCGCAACCTCGAGGAGCTTCGAACCCAGCAACTGATGCTGCATCGTACGACCTCCTTCGCGCTCTTCCGTGCACACATCATCTTAACCCCATTGCTGATCTCCTCTTAACCCTCCCTTCACCTTCTCACTATCAGGGCGTCGGCGCACTGGTTGGCGCAATGACCCGCAACCTCGAAGAGCTCCGGACACAGCAGCTGATGCCTCATTGCACCACCTCCTCTGCGCCCTTCCGTGCCCCCATCATCTTAACCCTTCCATTACCCTCACTCAACCCAGCAACTAACCCTCCTTTATCAAACTCGTCTTTGTCAGGGCGTCGGCGCACTGGTTGGCGCGATGACCCGCAACCTCGAAGAGCTCCGGACACAGCAGCTGATGCCCCATCGTACGACCTCCTTCGCGCTCTTCCGCCGCGCAACTCTGGCACCCCCATCGGAGGACGAGCCGGTGTTGCGGGAGATCCAAGAAGAGCGGGAACAGCTGGCGGAACTCTGGAATTTCCAGCGGTTCACGGCGGTGGGGCTTCTCATCGACCTGGAGACGCCCATGCAGGTATGCGCCAAAATTTTCATGGCCTCTGCCTTGTACTCGATTGTCTGTTGGTTCGAAACGGGAGAGCCAAGATTGAGCAGAAACAGCTGGCAGAGGTCTTGCACTTTCAGTGGTTCATGGCGGGGGGATTCTTTTTCGGTACCCCACCTTTTGGAACCGGCCGCAAGGACCCCCTGGCATTCCTCGTACCAGCAGTCCGGGTGGGTCAAGTGTTAAAGCAGCTGCCAATTACAGCTCAAAGCAGGAATATGATTGCGAGGTACCAGCTATATTACCATGGGTCCTTCTTGAGTTGAACGTGGAGATGCATATCTGAGAATTTAACAATGTCGGGTACGTTTCAAACCGTGACGTCATCTTGTTGCAGCACCGTGACGTGGACCTGACGCCAGAAGAGGAGGCGGAGCGGTTCCACGTGCCGAGCCTGTACATCAACCTGGCGTGCACCTTCTTCTACATGGTCAACTATTACATCATCGTAAGACCGCAAACCTCGCGACACCTTTCTTTCTAGACGGTCAGGAGTTTATTATTGCAAGGCGGGATGATTTGCAACGGACTTGTAGGACCGAAAAGACCGCAAGAATGATTTCAACGAATCCTCAGGCACTCACCCAGTGGGAAGTTACGGGTTTTCGGATGCTTCCAACTCCCCGTGAGCCGGTCGTTAACACCAGAACTCGAAGCGCCAATCTCGGAGGTTGGATGCTGAGCGTTGTCAATGTGGGAGGAGGCCGACTCTTACCACGTCCGCGAGCCAGCGGGCACTATTTAGTCCTTTTGTCGACGTCCGTCTCTAAAACGTTCCGCCCTCTTTTCCATACACAAAATGTTGCGCGTTTGATAAAATTAGTCCGATATCACTCACATGAACGCTCTCTTTTGGTGCCTTTTGTTTCACTCTCGGACGCCGTCTTCTGTCCTGCTTCGCAGGTCCCGACGTCCGACGACTACGCCGTTCTGCTCCACATGCCGGCCTCCGTCGCCGGTATCATGATTGGCGCCATGCCTCTTACCGCCCTGGTCTCTACCTTCGTCTATAGGTGAGAGACTAGAGACCGGAGGTTAAGATTTGACCAAACATGGGTTTATTATGGACAGGGACGGGGCTAGGTTTCGAACAGGGACAGGCTTTCATTCAGATGGAAGACAGGGTTTCACTTCGGTCAGAGACATGGGCTTATTTCGGTGAGGTTAGCTTTCGCAGGATCGGAATGAAAGTTTTAATAGCAGCCGTTTCGCATCAAGCGAAGCCCTCTGTAAGCCTAAGCTCTCTCGACTTGCAGTGCTTGGTCCAACCGGTCCTACCGAGAGCCCCTCATCGTCAGTACGATCATCCTGATCATTGGCAACATCTTCTACGCCCTAGCCCTCGTCTTCAATTCGGTGTGGCTGGTGCTACTGGGGCGGGCGTTCAACGGGCTTGGTAAGCCCTCGAAAACTGTCCCCTTTCATCTTACGGCGACGCCTTTGGGGCCAACCGCACTACTTTGCGGTCGGTTATAATGCCTTAGCAGTTGGTTGCGATGAAAAGGTGTGACCTTTTCGAGTGCGTGCAGTTATCAGTAGGTGGAGCGTTACGGAGTCATTTTGCTTCTGAAAATGGTGCCTTAAGACAGCGGTTTTGGATTTCCCCTCAAAACTCCCCTCAGAACTCGCTTACCTTCCTCTTACAACGTTGTAGCACCGTTTTCAGTGTTCATCTTTGTTCCGTTTGGCGATTTATCCAGAATATTGAATAGGAGACGCAATTCCCGACTTTAAAGAGAGGAAGTCTCTCATGAGCACCGAGAAACTGTTTGTAAAGACCATTGGGCCCCTTTGGAGCCTGTTTTTGCCCTTTCGTCTCTTGAGCGGCTTCGGATGTGAAACGAAACAGCTTCTCTTCTCTTTTTCGTGGTTCTTCTGACAATCCGAGTCTTCGTTTTTCGGAAGGAGTGGAGAGTTGAACAAACCTTTCCGGAGTCGGTCGGTTTTAACACCAGTTCGTCGACGCTTGGCCAGATTGAGATTTGGACCCTTCAAAAATTAGGCCGTTTGATGACCGAGCACGGCCATCGGACGGCTTCGTTTCTGTGTTGGCATGGATAGGGCTTGACTACTGGTCGTTTGAGTGCTTACATAACCATAAACTTAACTAGCAATGAGGATCTTAAGGAACTGAACGTACTTACTCTCGGCTTAACCAACACTAAAAGCCTAAGGCCAAGATGACATGCTCCGCACCCGAACCCACCCTAACCTCCAAAGTAACTCCACCCTTCCTCCTGTATCTTGAGTTCCTCGTTACTATTAGAGTTTCTTTTGATGTGCTCACTATTTCTTGTTCGTCTGCAACACAGGCGGTGCTCGGGCCATCAACCGGCGATACATTGCCGACTGGGTTCCGGTCAAGCAGAGGACCCAGGTGCGCACACAGTAGCTTCTCGGTCCCTGACAATACGTCGTTCATGCGAGCGCATCTCTTGAGTAGATCGTCTTCTGAAAGCATCTGCTGAGGGTTGTCGAAGGGCAGCCCCAGTGGTCGGCAGCTCTTTGAAGCGTGGGCCTTCAGGTTGAGAGAGCGAGAACTGAAGGGGACATGTACGGTGTGTAAAGTCTCCAGTGCAATTCGCTGTAGAACCTTCTTCTCAGTTGGACATGAGCAGCTTGCAGCACAGCCCAATCCGCTCATTGCAGAACGCATTTGCGTGTACGCTCTAGTGCGTTGACTTGAGGTCCGGGCACCTTCTCTTGCTAAAACCCAGTTGAGCGAGCGCTAACCCTTGGTAAACCATTCCCCTACAGGCCTCCGCCGCGTTTGTGAGCGCCAGCGCGTTTGGCATGGCCGCCGGCCCAGCCATGGCTGGCCTGATGACGTCACTCGACTTCCGCATCCCGTTCCTCCCGGGCCGTCCGATCGTGGTGAATGACGTCACCGCCCCCGGATGGATCATGACGCTCTGGTGGGCGCTCTTCCTGGTCGCCGTTTTCGTCTTCTTCAAGGTGGGTGTGACGTCATCGTCTTGATGCTTAGGCCAGTGGAAATAATATTCCGGTTCCGATCCGGCCCCTTTTGGTGGGTCGGTCGGTCGGGAAAGTAGATAAATGACTGCTATTTTTGGATGTTGAGGAGATGAGGTGTTTTGGATGCAAGATTGAAACCTTCACCTGGACCGCTTACAGGTTTTGGACTAATTGTCCTCAGAATCGAAGAATTATTGGCCTTCAATCGATGGAATACTAAATCGGTCTAGGACCGAGAACCCGGATTCAACTTGGACTGGCCTTAGACTGGCCTTAGGTACTCTTGGACGCATGTGCATGCATGTTTTACTTCTGTCTTTCTTGGGGTGCTTAGGTCCCATTATGGTAACTGAAAATGTTGGTTGAGTTAGGACGTTATGATGGCGACTGCTTTTGGGCGAAAGTTTTCCAAGCGGAAAGCGGAGCTTTTAGAGGCACTGGGTCATTAGTGACGGCTTTCGACTTCTGGGCTGACCTGCCCACCGCAAAAGCCGCCTGGTATTGTCGGGAGGACATGATACAGACAACGCTTTGGTGCGGCTTTCAAAGCAGAAGTTTGAAGGTTAATTCAGACTCCCATGATCTGAAATTTCGTCACCCGTGATTTAAATTTTCGTCCCTCGCCGCTTAAGAAAAGTCATCGGCCGGGTCCTTCTATGAAGCTTCCAACTCCTCTGTCAGTCTTGCCACCGCCAAGCGCTCCCTCGCGTGTCGGACCTACCGACAGTGGAGAGCGGGCGAGTTCACAGAGCAAGTGCTTAACTGAGAGCCTTGAACTCATTCTCATCCTCAAAACGTTATTGTCCCCGCGCTACTTACAGGAGCCCCACCGGCCGGATCCCACAGTGACCCCCTTCCGCTATTCCGCCAATCTCACCGATGTTAAGCGGCCCCTGCTATTGCCAGGGCCCCCTTTACGGAGACTGGCGCTGGATCGGATGGGGTCTGGCCTAAAACAATGGGAACTCAAGACCTCCAGTTTCCAACATTTTTCAGGATGCACAATTCTCGACCTTTAGAGTCTCACATTCCAAGACCCCAAGATCCACATTCTTTATTTTCCATTACTTGCAGGAACCACATCGGCCAGATCCAACAATGACCCCCTCTCATTCTTCCGCCAATCTCACCAATGCCAAGCGGCCCCTGCTATTGCCGGACCCCCCCGAAGTGGAGAGCGGAGCTGCGTCGGACGGGCGGGGGTCCGAGTTTGGCAGTGAAGAGGAGGTTGAGGCGCCGGCCAAGACTCTGGCGGAGGTTTGGCGGGAGATGAACTCGCCCGTGCTAGTGAGGAACTCAGTTTTGTACTGGTTAAGTCACCGGTTGATATTGGTCTGAGACTGATTGGAGGTGGTTCACAATAAGTCAGGGGTGGTTGGGATTCGTTGGAGATGGTAACGTAGGCCTCTGTTTGTCTGGGCATGAGTTTGAAAGGGATCAAAGGACACGGTCGAGCTGGTACAAGAGCTGGTTACAGACTGGTTAGAGTCGCGGTTAGAGTTGGTTAAAGGGGAGTTAGAGCTGGCTAGGATTGCTGAAGAGGTGGTCTGGGCGTAAGTTTGAGCAAAGCACCTTATCGTGGGAGATGAACACGCCCGTGTTGATAAAAACCTGGTTACCAACTGGCAAGTTACGGTCAGAGTTGGCTTCAGACGGGTCACACCTGATCAGAGTTGGTTGAAGTTGGTTAGGGCTGGTCTCAGTTGGACTGGGCGTGGGTTCGAGCAAGGGGCTGACCAGGAGCGTAGAAGACTCTGGCAGGCCAATGATGAACATCTGCTGTATTGTCCCAGAGAAACATGTTATTCCCGCCGTCTCCAGGTGACTTTGCTCGTGTGTTTTATGCTCAAAATCGCGACGGGGGTCCTCGTCTCCGAGAACAGCAACCTTGACCAGATTTCTTTTGAAGTGGAACCCCGCTCCTGACCTTGCAAAACAGGGAGCCGTAACGTTAAGCGTTGCCAATTTCCAGGTGACTTTGCTCGTCTACTTCATGCTCAAGTTCGCGACGGAGGTCCTCCGTTCCGCGAGTAGCATCATGACCGAGTAGGACTCCCCGTCGAGAGATCCCACTGGTCCACTGAGAGGAACCAAAAGCCCAACGATTCAAATTCGGTTTTTCTCCGTCTTTCTAAGTAACCTTACTTGTCTCCTTTATCCCAACTTAGCAACTGAGGTCTCACCTACAAGGGAGGTCTCACCTACAAGAGCAGTATCGTGACACAGTTACTGATTCGCTTTGCCGCTCCAATTGCTCATAATCTGCTCCCACAATTGACGTACGTTCTGCCGTTTTCCAGGTGACTTTGCTCGTCTACTTCATGCTCAAGTTCGCAACGGAGGTCCTGATCTCCGAGAGCAGCATCGTGACCAAGTAAAGCTCCTGGTTGACACCCTTCTCCCACTGGTCTATTGACTGACTTCCAAGAACAAAACGAAACGTCCGTAATTTTTGATTCGATTCCCTCCCTTCCAGGTGACTTTGTTCGTCTACTTCGCGAAACAGGGCCTCGCTTTTGAGAGCAGCAAACTCACCAGTTTCTTGTAGATCATGGAACCCCGCTCCCAAAGTTACAGAAAAGAAAATTTTAACGGAACCTACGCCATTTCCCAGGTGACTTTGCTCGTCTACTTCATGCTCAAGTTCGCGACGGAGGTCCTCATCTCCGAGAGTAGCATCGTGACCAAGTACTACTTCCGATGGACGCCGCGCAGCGTGGGCGCTTTCCTGAGCGTGCTGGGCCTCACAGTGCTCCCCGTCAACTACCTTATCGGGTCGTTCATCGGGAACGTCTACGAGGACAGGTGCGTGTTGATTTGTTTTGCTACTGGAGTTTTAATAGTCCCTGTACAGGCTCCTTACCCTGTTGAGCGAGGGAGAACCAGGTTCGTAGTTGGGGCCTCGGGTCAACGTCTTGACCTGAATTTTGACTTCCCTCGTGCAGACTCGTTCTCTGTGGACCGAGGTGATAACCATATTTCTAGTCATTGTTCCCGGGTCAACGTATTGGATTGGATCCTTGACCCCGCTGTGCAGGCTTGTTAACGTGTAAACCGGGTTAGGCATCACGTTTACAATCAGTCTACCTGGGCAAATTGTTAACCCAATCCTTGACCCCGCCTGTGCAGGCTGGTCATCATGTGGACCGAGGTAATAACCGTGGTCGGCGTCGTTTTGAACCTGTCCTACGAGCCGCTCATCCCGTACAGCCTGCCGCAGTACGTCGCGGGGGCGATCCTAATTTTTGTGGCCACGTGTGCGCTTGAAGGTGGGTGCTAGTCAATCTTACTTCATTTGACTTTCCAGTTTCTAGTTTTGAGCTCACAGATCAGTTGGGAGGGTTTAGCAGTTTCATGAACGGTCTATGCTGATCATACTAAGTACGTGAATGGAAGGTTCGTGTTTTTGCGACTCCGTGATTGTTGAACGTCCCAGCTCCTTTGGTTCTCGTTTTCTGATACAGCTGTATCAAAGGTTTGAATCCATGTACCATCACCGGTGATGAAGCATAGGGTCGATCTGTGGCCCGCTAAGAGCCAACTTTGACCTTATCCTTCTTCACATACTCTCGCTTGACGATACAGGCCTTGATTTCGAAGACGGTTTGTAACCTGTTGCCACCTGTCCTTAACCTCGTAAGGGTCTCAATGCACTTCTTCCAGGTGTGAACATGGCCCTTCTCTCCAAAACCATGAGCCCCCGGCTGTCCAAAGGGACCTACAATTGCGGTCTGCTCTCCACCGAGGCGGGGACGCTGGCACGGGCGATATCCGACATCATGATCACCGCTATGGGCGGCTTTGGACAAAAATATATTCTTAATTTGACGATGCTACCCACTTTGGTCGTGGCAAGCGGAACCACAATTGTAACATTTCTGAAATATAGGAGCTTAAAGACAGCATTGTGAGGTGCCATTAGCTGCGGATTCCCGTAACCTTTTGACCGTAAGTGGTGGAGAATGTGAGCCCATGCAGGGAGTTTTGACTTCGGCATCTGTCACTGAGAGTGCCAGCCGAGTGGCTGGGTCGCACCGGGCGATGCACGGCATGCAAGGCAATCATTCATTGCCATTGAGTCAATCGACGGGATGCTTATCGTTCCGCTTACAAGGTTTGCAATGGGTTCGATGGTGACTGGGTGATACCAGGCTCGATCAGACTTGCGTGTCCAATACTTGTGCATGAGCCTGAGTCAGCGAGCCTCAGTGCCAGAGGACGATCTGCACGTCCGACGTCCTTGTGCCATTACTGGGTTCCAAACCATAACAGCATGACTCGTACTAGTGTGTCACGGCTGCAGCCAGTCATGACTTGCCGGCCAAGTGACCATAATTTTGTGACGTACAGTCAAACTTCGAGGCACGTCCCTGAATGATTCCTAAGATTCACCTAAAAGAGGCGGGGAAGTGCATGTATGTATGTTATCTGCTTGTGTTTCGCGAGTTCCGGCTCATGACGTATAACCATGCATTAAGTATGTCGGAAACACAGGCTTGCGATGTACGTGTATATGCAATATATCATTGCAACCAAATGCAACTTGGCAGGAAGCACCGCCGCATGGCTCCTTGACTCGCATGTCGAGACGGTGGACATGTATGTGTGCATGCCGGCATTGGCAGTGAGAACGTACCATGTTAGAGACAAGCTGAGCCAGGCAGGGCCGCGCAGCATATTGCGTTCATGGCCGGACTCGTTTTCCAGTGACTGGAGCTTCAATCCAAGAATGCACTAATCGGACTCAACCTTCACTTACCATGCCAGGTGACCGTACCATCAGCTGAGCGCGGCCAGAACTTTGGGAAAGCCAGGCCTGGTTCAGGTACGGTCAGCAACATGCATTAAATCATTGCAGACCGAGTAAACAACTGGCCTGTCGTACTTATCACCTGATCAGCCGCCGCCTCATAAACATTCAACCTACGAGCGGGCAACGAGGCCCGCTTGCTCGGAGTTATGATTAGTGTCCAAAGTGACGTACTAGGTTGAGTGACGGTTGCGTGTCGGAAGCTGCATTACAGTCAGAAGTTTACTTGGTTCCAGAGCCTTTGGCTGGCTAGCACTCTAGCTGACTCCTATTTTGACGCAGCCAGCAAATCAAGACGTTGCACGAACACAAATCCAAGATTTACCTGGCAAGCCTTCGGAGTTTGCATCAAGCATTCTTCTCGGTCTCTAGGCACGCTGAGAAATCTCTCTTCAATACACATACTGGCTGGGCCTGAGCTTGCGCATGCTTATGCAGCTGAAGTACCATTCACACTGTCGAAAAAAGACCAATCACTCGTCGATTACATTTACAAGCTCGTACTCAACCAGAGACAGGTTGTTGTCAACCTTCGGCTCGAAGCTGGCGTCATCCGTGGCAGTGACAATACCCCACTTATCAACTGCAAGTCGCATTGAACCCTTAAACATGTCGATCTTGGCATTCCGTAGAGTCACGGTGGCGCCCTCCTTCATGAGCTCGACTGTACAAGAGGAAGATAGCTAGGCGTTGGGATAACGAGACTCAGTGCGAACAGCCGGCATGCTTGACGATACATGGACACAGTCCATGGAAGAAGAATTTCAATTTCGAACCGGCACACGTAGACACCCCTTCACCGACTCCCCGGATTCCCCATTCCAAATGAAGCTCCTAAAGTGGTATACATAACCAGTGCTACCCACGGGGGTCCAGATCGGCAATTGCAACCCATGTGGTTCTCCTTCCCGCTTTATTAAACAGCAGGCTATAAGCACAGGGATCTGCTGACTGGCCAGAGATGTGTAGGCAGAGCCAAAACAACGACTGTCACTTGCGAACAAGGGTGAGATCTAGCATCTACGGTGGAGGTGACAATGATAGGCAATGCTCAGAAGCAACCGATAACACTTCTGGAAAGGGACAGCCAACCAAGAAAGAAGCAATTAAGGGTGAATGATGATTGTGTAACCCTTCGATTGCTCCCAAGTCACAAGCGAGCCTGACGATGTACATTGTGTGTCTCTTCCATTGCAAACCTGGGCAATATGACACCAGTTCCCTAAGCTAATGAACAGCTTGGAAAAGTTCGACACCCAGTTCGCGATTCCAAACCGCAGGGTCCGATCTCTAGGAACAGTTTCAGAGATTTCTAACCCCAACTTCCAGTCTTAAAGAGCAGTGTCCCGACTTTCCTGGCTGTACCGTCCGTGACAACCAGAAGGCAGCGTGATTGCAATTGCAATGCCTTTCAGAGAAGTCTCAAGGAGGTCTTCATGTCAATTTCTGTGACCACGATGTGGATGAAACTAAAGCATTGGGCTTTCAATGAAGTGAATCCGAATTTGAGCTACCAATAATTCTGAGCCAGAATCTCAATGATCAACATGACAAACTTGAAGGCCAATCAGGCAAAGACGGGTAAGGTCTGAAGAAGAGTATCCAGAATTGCAGGCGCAATCACCGAGCATTATGAAATCAAGATCCTCACACCATCTGCAGCGAAACTCCTGCTTCTCTGATGACTCGAAAAGAGGCGAACTAGACTTTGCAAAACTCACCCTGATCACAATTTGGTAAGGTGCGCGCCGTGAAGACAATCACTCCGGTCTCGTCCCCCACTATACATTCCGCAATCCGCACTTGCCGCATCTTGCTGCCGTCAGGGCGCGCCCGCTGCAGGACCACCTGAAGTAAAGGCGGGGTTGAAAGTGAGCCCTTTTCTGCAGTTCCATTAACTGTTTCGTGAGAAATTATTCAAGGGTCCGCCTCTGCGCTGGCTCATCTCCTTTGCTTGAAAATGGATTGAGAAAGGGGTGTCAAAGTTCATAATACCAGACACTCTGACAAAACAGTGAACACCATCTCCGAGTCTGACGTTGTCAAACGAGGGCTTGACGAAGTTTGCTAGAAACTGGCAACTCTATTTGCCTTGGAAGTACGAATGTGGATAAAGCCACACACCTGGTCTCTATGAGAGGATAATTCGACAGAGATCAAAAGTGGTAATTTGCACTCTACCAGGTTTACAAGGTTGATATGCAGTGAAGTGTTGCTGCAGTATCTGAGGGTGCCAAGGCCAACATTCAGTTGAACGAAGATCAACTGGTTGTCTATCGGCTGTACTGGCAAAGCGGAGTAATAGTATTGTTCAACAATACATCACAGCAGGAAGAGGTGTAAGCACAGCGACTCAAAGTACCTCAAGGTCCAGAATCTCACAGGAGGTGCCTTTCAATTCCTTCAGTAGGCTTATGTTTAAAAAGGACAAGTCCCTACAGCACTGTAGGGATTGAAATCCGCGTCAACTTCAGCACTACCTTGAAATGCGTGCACTCCGGTCCCTTAAGTCTCAGCTTCGCAGACTACGCTAGTGATAGAGCGTCAGGCCCTATTTTGATGCATTCAGGATTGCTTAAAGAATCCCAAATTCCAGAAACATGCTGTCGTAGAACACCAGATCAGGCACCAGATCAGGACTGTAAGTATCTCTTCATGTAAACCATTAAAAGCAAAAACTTTGACTTGCTGACCATATCAAATTGACCTCGTTATCTTTGAATAGAGAAAGACAATTCTGTGGATTTTCCGAGCGAATTGATGCCCAAACGAAATTCTACTACTGAACACAGGACTCACAACAGAAGTTCTGTAACCCCATAATAAGTACTATCCACATGTCCCAAGTTTCTATGAGTTGACGCTCATTCAAATTGGTGCACGGGAGGTCAGCTCACTGAGCTCGCAAGAGCAATCAGAAAGGCACAACCCTAAATGCACCATTCGCCAGAGAGTGCTGAAACTTGGGGAAGTTGAGCTTGTATTTGAAGCAGATTCCCTCTTTGCGGCAGCAAACAGAAGCTTTTTAATCGCATCTCAGCTTAAAGAGTTGCTCTCTCGGTTTTTTGTCTTTTCCAAATGTAGGCCCTTTGGTTGAATCTTAAAGCTTCTTGCGATATTCAGGAGGTTTACAAGTTTGTGCAATGGTTGGTAAACTCCTGTGCAATATTGCTCGATTGTCAACTGATAGTGGTAAGTTTTTAAGCTGATGACTGGGTGCATTGGTTAAAAGACGAATTCCAACAGTACATGCCCAAATAAACCAGGGAGAGAACAGCGAAACAGTTCGTCCTCACATCGTTGGAGACCACTGTCACCTAAGAAACTGAATGCTGTGATGGACAATTGGCTAAGGGAACCAGGTATATTGCCAGAAGCCAAGATACATTTGAAACAGCGAAACAATGCATCCCCACCTTGCTAGAGACCACTTTCACCACAAGATTGTGGCCGGACGTCCCCGGCCGTAGGTCTGCGATCTTGCAGAAAGTTGGTTTCCGGAGGGGAGGAGGTGCGGCACCCTGAGACGTGCTTGCCTCTTGCTGCGCCTCTGGCTGCTGCGGCTGCTGTGGTGCCACAGCGGCTGCCATCTCTGCTCAAGGACCCTACAATTCAACAGCTCTGAATTGCGTGGCAGATCTACGGCTTCACACTTGTCAAGGCCGGGCAACAGTTTTGCAGGATTGAATGATTGCGCGTCTTTGAATGAAACAAGCGCTGCAAAAGATATGCGCTATGGTGACTGCACTTGAAACAGCAGCAGGGACAATGGACTGCAGTGGATTCGCCAACAATCAGCAAACGATAAGAGAGCTTGGACAAGAACACAACTTTTAGAGCGAAACGCAATTTCGCAAAAATCAGCAGCTACAACTTCAACTTTCAAGTTCAAGTTCAACCACATTCAACAATTCTGGAACACCATCTGGAACAGAAGGGTAGGGTAGACAGCCAGCAACATGTTGAGGTACGTGAGGCGCACCTGGGAAGACTTCCGAAAATTCGGGTACCTAATAACTGTTGATCCCCAGCTTCATGCAAGGTGTAAACCGAACTCAGAAGGTTCAGTCGGGAGCAGACCACCGAGAACCTTTTCCAGAGCTGGTTTTCTGCAACAACTTCCCCTGGGCCTTGGTTCACGCTGAGTCAGTCTGCTTTAACACTAGGACCGTAACTGTGACCATATGGTAACGCGTGACCATATGGTCACGCTTAAGTATTGACTGGGTAAAACCCTGTGGGTTTATACAAAAACCCAAACCCTTGGACTATGGCTGGTCAACATTGACCCTAAGGTATTCCCTAACCATACCCCGGAACGGCATTGGTCAAAAAGAACCAGCTGACGACATTCTAACATGGGTTTCACAGGGGTTTTTTGCCCCAAACTGGTCCCTAGCCTGACGTCTCCTGTTTGACCATTGTTAGCAACTTGGGCTGATGACGTCACAGAGGTTTTTGGAGGTTTCAGGTTTCAGGGAAGTTGAACATGACCCAATAAGGGCCCCTGACAAGGTTGAAAAGTTTCCGTGTAGGTTTGGTATGAAAACCACCCCTTTTCCCTAAGCGTGACCATATGGTCACGCTTATTTCCCCTCATATTAGGGTTTTGGGACCTCTTATTGAAATGTGCTGGCAGCAAGAACCTGGCCTTGGAGTTCAACCTGCCTATCATACTTACTATTTCAACCATAACCCCTAGAAGCATCAGGAGTAATGTGAGCACTTATATCCGGTATCTTCATAGGGTTTTTCCGTAACATCTGAAAAAGATGAGCGTTACCATATGGTCACACTTAGCTACGGTCCTAGTGTTAACCTGTGGGTTATGTCACTGTCAGTCAGGATACCTCCGTGAGTCTCACAGCGGGCGACTTTCCGTTTCGGCCTTCAAGTTCTTGAGTTTCTGTGCAGCACTTTTGGAATCTGAACACTCCTGAACAGTGAAAGAGTCGAGAGGTGAGGGCTCGAGAGGTGAGGGCTGACGTCTGTGGCTTCAGCAGCGGGCTGCCTTGATGCTATCACCACTAATAGAGCTCTGCACGAGGCTGCACAATTTGCAGCTCCAAGGCCCTTGCTTCGTTTCAGGACAGCGAGGTTTGAACGTCTGAAGCTGTCGCTTCGTCATAAGTGGACGCCATCTCGGTTTTCTGTCAAAATCTGCAAGCTCTTGAATCAACTGGAGGGCCACATTCGATGCTAGGGAGCCGCCCTTAGAAGCATTTTGCACTAGCGGACCATTCACTTCAATCAAATGCACCATAAGGTGCAGGCGGACTACGGACGTAGAAGACAGTGGCGAGACAAGGGCTTGGTTGACAGATTGACGTACTTGGAAAAGTCCACAGGGGTTTGGACCACTTTGCAACTTAATTGAAATAGCTCGAAGTAAGACATACAAAGACCTCTCATTTCTTTTGTTGGGGCTTGTAAGGTGTGGGGTAATGGTCAATCACAGGAATGCTTTCCGGAAGCTGGGTCGCACTAGCAGTCATCGATGGGCGCTGCTCAGGTGAGGAGCTTTCACATGCTCAGCGCTGGTCTTTGTTGCGAAGATAAGATAAAAGTAGTGCTGCAAACTGCTCTTTCTTTCATCCTCCCTCTTCCACCAGTGAATGGTCAGAGACAATCTGAAAATCCGCTTGGACCTCAGTGGGCTTGATCTTATAGTGGTGCATGCTGTGCGTCCCTTAAGGAGCCTTTTGAGGTTGCGCTGTGCATTTTTCAAGGAGCGCTCTCAAAACGACGGCTCCTTCATCTAAGTTTTCAGGAGTCTGCTAAGGAAGTGCAACAAGGGAATGACAGTTGGTGGAGCCTATCATGATTGTTGCTGAAGTTGGTAGATTAGACGTGGCACCGATCCACTTTCCCAATATTTTCTCCTTAGTAAGCTGAACTATTCCTTGTTGCACCAGCATTTTGTACCAAATCTCTTCACACCTGATCATGTCAGGACTGCCCAGTCAATCCGCCCAACCTCATTATGAATCTGATCAATGAATGCCCTGAAACCCACACTCAAGAGAGGGTGCAGAAAGAGAGTGGATTTCTAAGAAATCTGATTTTGTCTGGGGAGTCAATTTCGAAAATCTGGTGCTTGCTGTCCCCTGGTCATTCATTGCTTTGTCTTACCGTGAGAGCTGTTCCCTCGTTTGTGCTGGAAGCCCCTTTGGTCCACAAGTGGTTTTTGGATGCTCATGCTTACCCTGTTGCAGCCATCCGGTAAAATCTACTTCTGCTCGGACTGGTTTCTTGAGTAAGGCCGCCGGGGGCGTCAACTGAAAGGCGCCAGACATTTGATGACCTCAGGGGCCAGGTTTAACTTGCCGACCATCACACGGACTCCCAAACCCAGGACTTCTGGCTTAATCAATTCCTGGCTTGGAATGAACAAAGTGAAGACTTCTTTGACTGCAGGACAATGGTGTCCCAATTGATTGAACACGAGAGGATCGAGACTACGGTGGCCAAGGTAAGGGGCTTTTGACCCTGTGCTTACAGCTCTTTCCAAGCATCCTGCCGGGTTTTAAATAGAGAGGGAAGTCTAAAAGTTAAACGACCAAGTCAAGTCTAAAAACATGTAGCGTCAATTAACTTCGACTAACTTTTAAGCTTCCCTCTTGATCTAAAAACTGGCAGGTTGCTTGCAAAGAGCTGTAAACAAACCTTCAAGGAACATGCGCTATACATTTCGTGTATCACAAACAACTTTCAGCCCCGGACACAGTCGACCGCAGTCGGCGGAATTCATGGTTCAAGAACAGCTGAGTATCACAGACAGTGGATACAGGTTTGGGCGGTTAGTTGCACTTTGCGTTGTGGACGAGGTCTCAGGTCCGGTCAAATCTGTCGAGATTGCCTTCATATCAACAAGTGGACGACTCTGTTTCAAGTCTTGATGTTCAACTGAATGCTACAAAACATAAAACAGTGTGGATATGTGTAAATATCTCCTCAAATGATGTCAAAAACATTTACCGACGTCAAGGCCAAATGATTGCACCATCACCCAGACGCGGTGTAGGCTCAGCGCGTCAAAATTGGCACGGGTGCAAGGAACATACACTTGATCTTCGAGTGTCACCGTCGGCAGAAAACTTGTCAATTGTTGAAAACAGTCCCAGTACAGTAGACTTAAAGCTGACGTCAACCAGCTCCGTGAAAATAAAATGATTGATGAGTGCACACACTCGTGCAGGCAAAAGAGCTTCGTCGCGTTGCAGACAACATGGTGACCTTGGGAAAGGAAGTGAGGACTTCAATCTCTTTTTCTTCTGCCCCTCTCTTGGGCCGGGGTCTTCGCAGTTTGCCTTCTTCACAATTTTGGTAAATGCACCCTTCTTTCTGGCTAGCAAAGACACCAGCTCGGTCTTATCTGCTGATAACGCCGGTTCTCACTGGGACGGGGAAGTGTGTAGAAACACCAGCAGCTGGGCCCAGTTTGGGCCCGCCGCTCGATAGCTTGCGCCCAGGACGCATCGGTTTACATATGGAATCCGTTTGGTGTACAGACAACGAATCTATTTACTTCGTAGCAGTTCCGTCGTCCGAGTGTGTATTGATTCGTTAACTTTCGCCCAGTAGGCATCGCTTTATTGTACGGGTGCGTCGAGCGTACTGACAAACGATGTCAAGCGATTCCGTAACAATTCCGATTGTCCCGATAAGTAGGCGATGGGTGTGGTTAGCCAGGGGGTTAGGTGGGCACGGTTGCTGAACACATTAACCCCAGGAACGAGGTCTTGATTCGACTCAAAAGGTTCCCGGGCTTACTGTTTCCTAGACCGAGAAATACTTCAGTCATTGGCGGGCCGGCGTGCTTTGGCAGATCAGACTGTTGAGTACCTTTCACAAGGGCACGTTCTTATATGGCATTCTTCCTTGGACAGGTCGGGTTTAGTCTGGGTTTTAAGGGGGCACTGGTGTGGAGCAGGTGTACTTTTCGGGTTAGGCTCTCCGGTATTTGCTTCGTCCGTATCTTAACTTGAGCTTTATCTTAACTACATCAGAGGATCCTGTCTCGCAGGGGACCCTTCACGCGCGGCGGCAAGCGGCGGCAGTCGTTAGGGGCGACGAGCATGTCTTCAAACTGTTCAACGACTTCGCTGAGAGATACAAGTGAGCTCACCCTCCACTATCGGTCGTCTTTCTGTTGCTCAAATCAGTTTACGAACTGCCTAGGCACCGTCCAAGGTTGACTGCTGGTCCTGGTGTTGAAAGAACGAAAGTTTGTCTTCTATCATAAAATCCTACGTTATCACTTGCGAGATCTCGTTATCTTGATCAGGAGATTGTTGCAATCGAAGACGGAAGCCGTTCCGGTTTCAAACAGTAAGCAGCGTACTGAGCTGCCAACTAAGAGCTGCTGACCTGTAAAGTAGCATGTTTCACAGCCTTGTTTTTGGGGGTCAAAGGGGACCCCTCGACAGTCAAACAATGCACTCGTCGAATCTAGAGCGTTTGCTTAGGACAGGCGGCAGGAGACGACGGGTTACGAAATGGACCGCAAATCTTTCCTTCGTTGGTTTTCGGACGGCTCATCTCTAGGGTCTTTCATCTCGCACTGCAAGGAGTTTTGATCTTGGACGGCTCTGTTTGACGGCAGCTCCTCCCCGCTTCTTATAGCACTCGTTAAAAACATTCGGCAGGGCAGATAGTGTTTTACTTTTTGCCGAAATGAAATGCCGGTACAGTACCCAAAAAGCAAGTTTGCTCGTTGAATCCTCTGACCTGCCGACGCCAACCTGTTTAGGGAGCGAGAAGGGGGATACACGCGGGTGCTGCAAACGCGCGACCGAAAAGACTCAGCCCCGATGGCCTATATCGAGTAAGCCCCGCTTTATCTAACCACAATTGTCACGCCTGCCTCCGTTCTTGTTACGAGACATTGTCAGTTTTCCAATTTCAAAGCTTCTGCTGCTGAGTCCTCTTCCAGTGCCCCGGTTGTTTCGAGGGGAAGGTGATGCCGGTCTGAGCCAAGAGCCGGCAATTCGGATTGCGTATATTGCTGGTGGTGACTTGTCCTCGAGTAGTGCTCGTTTCGTGGACTCCATCTTACTCCCCTATGTTCGGTTGCTTCCTAGCTGACTCGTGTACTCACGCCTTCGTCGAATTTTGATCCTGTCGTGGACTCTCTCGTGGTTTGTTGTTCGGATGATTTGCAGGAGACTCGTCGACGCAAAGCCTGAATGTTACCCGCGGAAGCGAAGTAGAGATAGGAGAATGATAAAGCCAGGATGATTGACCTACACTTATGTGTTTGCCGAAGGGCGCCCTTAAATGGCCGGGACTATCATTCTACGCTGGGTTAGGCACTCAATGATTGTTCGCGAAACCGATTCGCTTCTACATCTACCGACGTGCAACCTTCATTGCCAGTTCTTATGCAATATCATTCCTTTCTCGAGTCTGGCCACAGGCGATATTCATTTGTTATCTCCTTCAGTCTTTCATTCCCTTTTTTCTTTCTCGAACGGAGTTGCTCTATTCGCAGATTCGTCGACAGACCGGGGGAGTTGGTCGCAGCGCAGCCGCCCCGGCAACAACCGGAGCAACGGCCTGCATACTGGCCTTTCCCCTTCTCTCGGCCCCGCATACCTGATCCCGCACATGACAAACCCCCACCTCCTCCTCCCAAGATGGGCGCGAAGATGAAGAAGAATTCGAAGTAGCCGTTTTGAGGTGCCGAATGGTCGTTGTCTCTCGTATGTACATAATTTGGTCATATTCCCGGTGGGGTCGGAAGATACAGGCTGAGAACCTTTGAGTTGACACTTTGACATGCTCGCAATGATGCAGATATCCAGTGGGTGTCACCTTCTGGTGGCCGTGCTTTCAGTGCATGAATGATTTCAAAATTGACATATCTGCGTTACCGCTCAGATGAGATCCAGATTATAACTGCTGCTTGCAACTTGTTGTTGTAAGTCGGGAACGCCGTGCTTGCCGCTTTCAGTACGTACTGTTATTGCCCCATATACTGCATACGTGCCAGGCAGCTCATCTTGTTTGCATCTAATGGCAAATTGTCGGCCTCAGAATGATATGCAAATCTAGTCGGCTCGATCGAAGCTAGCATCAATCTGAGGCATAAGAACGAATGATCGAACGCGGTTCGAGATACCTCGGCCTATCATTAGTTAATTAGCATATCGTCGTATCACACAAAGGTCCGCTCAGCGCATGTACGTAAGTTGATATTTATTGCGGGCCGGCCCGGCTCGCTTGACATGGCCGCCAAGTAAAGAAATCAATGATCAAGCAAGTCAATCAATTGCGCATGCGTAATCGCAGCGCGGGTGGCCCGGTCACGCGATGGTTGGGCAGTCCGGTTGATTGTTGATTACAGTATTCAGTGCCAATATCCGCAGGCAGTCACTGTAACGGTGCTTGAACTCGCGGGCGCCTTATACTACTTACATAGTGCACCGTCATTGGCACCATGGTCGGCACGCCGGCTTATTTTCATGTCATGGACTCATGGTTTTCATTTGCATGAAGGCTGCCCGGCCGATCGAAGTGCTGCATGTGGAATATGCTCCGAACATGCAAGATTGTTCAAACACTTCAAACAAGATTGTCCTTCTTCACTTCTTGAAACTTCTGTACTTGGGCAGCTAGCTTTGCTTGAGCATTTAATGCGCACAATCATCTCATCATCTAGTAACGATGCTGGACGACTCTATGCAGTGCGACCGGACCGGGAAGAAGGGCTTCACGAAAGGCTCTGACACGAGTCGGCTACACAACTTGTCTGGAGTGGCGTAGCATGCAAGCGCGCTTGCAATCTTGATCGGAAGGCTTTACACGACGGATGGTGCCGCCCCGGCCTGTGATTGGTCTACAAAGCGACGCGGGCTGAGATGATGCCGTCGGTCAAACGGGCCTACGCCCACACTAAGGAAAGAAGCAAAGAGAACAGAAGCCAAAGGCAGAGTACCCTGTGACTTGCCAGGATCTGACGACAAAGAACGATGATGTATGAATGAGGCCAAAGTATGTCCGGTTGCCAGGGAGCGCATCACAAGATTGGGTCAAACGGATTGAGACAAAGCACGCTCTAAACGCTTTTCATCCTCGAAGCGAGCTCTTGCCGAATTCGCACGACAACAAAGGGCTGTTTCTGGTAATCCGATGCCAGCTGTCGCTTAAACTTGTGCCAGGCTTACAAGTGCCCCGGATCCGGAAGCTAGAAGGCTTCACAGCCAACACAGTGAGTCTATGAGGCACCTTAAACGGCACCGTTGCATCAGGACCGCTTTGAACCAGCTGTGAGAAGGGCGTTTCGATGGGTTGCAGCTACAAACGGATCGTTCCTGGATGGAACTTCAGAGCCCTCTCGTCTCATCAAGGTACGGAAGGGCACCTCGTCTTTCTGGCAAAATCATCTATGTCTACGAGTTGGTCTCAGGAACTGGCCGTCAAGTTTGGTCTCCCATCTACCATAGGGATCCAGGGGGGATCCAGACTCAATTGATTGTCCCAGAAACGCAAATGGCTCAGAGCCTAGGCCCCTTTATGTAGTTCTCCTTGTTCTGAGTGTCAAGATTCAATTTTCGTGAGAAGGATTAGGTGGTTTGTGTTGTCTCGTGGTTATATCGCGTTGCTTCGTGGTTATATCGCGTTGCTGTGCTTCTCCTCTTTCACGAGGTTCATTGCCCACACTCAGCCAGTCAACCATCTGCAATACAACAGGACTGCAGGGCACGCGGATGCAGTACCACCGAAAAGCGGCCCACCAAAGAACAAAGGCCGGAGTTTCAAAATAGAACGGGCTCAGAACGCGCTAAGTTACCACCCGATTGAAAAGAGACGAACGAGCTAATAAGTACCAGATGGATTTAGAGCGCGTTTACATGGCCAGACCGAGAGTGCTGATTGTGTAGGACAGACACAGGACAGAGCTCGTTTTGGAGGCAATACTCTGAATGCAGACATTTTGAGGCGGCGGCAACTAATACAGCTAGCTCATCAGAACATTAACGTTTCAAGAAGAATGATCAAATGTTGCGAGTAAAATGCTCACGAGGTGAGTTGCACTTCCAGCCAGCAGATTTGAACGCATTTGCAATGGTGCCCCAATGGTGCATACGGGTTACAAATGTTCTCTTCAATCCGGTTGTGCTGTACATACATGGAAGCTGATCGATGATCTTAGCAACGTCTTGGCGGAGCGTTCCGCTCTGCCACAAGCCCGGCTGCAAGCTGACTTGAGTCCTATTGGCCTAGTGTCGCCAATCTGAGGCTGCCTACCAGCTCACTAGCTCAAAATCTTGAATCAGTGCATTCAAAGTTTTCTCGCATACTGATTTTGGAATCTGAACTCTGAAAAGCCAGCCTGAAAGCCAGTCTGACTCGGAAGTGTTTGATTTTGAAGGATTCCGAAGTGTAGAAGTGCAAGTTGCAGCTGAGCATGGGGATGAAAATATCATCTGCGTGCGCTATCTGACAATATGATCGGTGTTGTCAGAAGTAGACGCGTGAATCGTGATGGCGCCAGAAGCTTGCCACGTGCACAGTAGGACTCAACGAGTGACTGGCCATACTACGTTCATTAGTTTCTGCTCAGTCTCTGTAGTGCAAGATTGTACTGTTGAAACATGTACCTACCGTACTACGTACTACCTAGTACCGGTACTCAAGTCTGCATTTGTAAGACAATTTGTGGTTCGCGAGCACCACTTGCATGTGACGTCATCTGTTCGCCGGCCTGGTAGCATTGCCGCAACCGTCGATATATCATAAATTCCGCCGATGGACGGCGCAGAAGCATTCAAACTGGAGTGCTTATACTCATGTGCACAGCTTTTGCACATTGGGACCTGCCTGCCTGAACCTGAGGCGCGTCTCGCGTGCGAGTAGAGTCAAGTAGAGTCCTGAACCATCTTCCAAACGCGAGTCGATCAAATTTCCCAATTCAACTGATCATTGAATCTTGATCTTGTTTCATATTGGATCTTCATGCTGGCTGCATTGCCTTTAGAATCAGGGGCAGGGGATGTGCCAGTGGTAGGGGGATCAATCAATCTTAGATGAGCAAATGAGAAGGCGCCAAGGAAGCTCTGATCAGGAGGGGTCGCGTTTATTAGTGTCTCTGGGTAGACGCCAGACCAGAGCGAGACGAGGTTGTATACTCGAGCAAGCGCCCGTAGCGCTGCCGGAATGGTGCATGCAACAACCAAGCGAGTTGGCCCCCATTGCACACCGGCATAGCATTGTTATCCCTAGGCTGGCACTTTGCATCTCTTGCTCGTAGACCGTTTGGACTTGGAGGTCGCAAAGGTTACCCTGGCTGTTGCAGTTAGAATCTGGTGACAAAAACGATTAGGGTTAGCCTCAATTGCAGTCCTTTGAAGGAACCCCACCAAGGCGAGAAGAATGGAGGTTCAGCAGAACCCCATTTTCGAAGATGCCCCCATGGAAGAGCCCTGGAGCGGGGTTGAAGGGTCACAGGGAACTGTAGTGAGAGAGGATGGGCCTCAGACGGAAGCAGAAAGGCCTCTGGAAGAAAGCACCCGAATGGATGTGCTAGAGGCGCCTGCTGCAGACCACGAATGGGCTCCCCCTTCCAGTCTGGATCCAGCGGCCAGGCTACCGCCCAATCTGCACAATCGGGCGGCTGCCATCTCAGATGATGATTGGCTGCACGACAGGGATCTTGCCGACGCCCTGGATAGCCACAGGTCAAAGGTAAGGCGATTGAAGTTCTTGAGGGTTTTCAAATTGGCGGCAACCTGAGCTGAAAGTTTGGGGTATGATGAGGGGGTTACGATTGGAGAGTTTGTCAGGAATGCTGGCTGTTCAAGGCTGTAGGGGAGAGCAACTGGAGAGCAACCCGGCAGTGTCTGGCTGGGTTTTGTGTCCTCATTGCGTGTAAAGCAAGGTGTCTTGACGGCGACCATGCGATCAGGAAAGCAGAGAAAAACGAAAAGAATTACAGGGGTAGACTGATCGGCTGCACGCTTTCCTACACATTGTAGCATTGCACCACCGGTTGACTGCTGAATGTGGCTGGTCCGAGCGCTTGTTCAGCAATCTGTGCGAACTTAAGATGGGGATACTCACTGTTCGCAAGTGCACCTGATTCCTAAGGCAAGGAAGTTCTCTTGGAGCAAGTTCTGAGATTGCTTGACAGAATGATGCTGACTTGTCAATCTTATACCAAGCTATTGGTTCCAGAGAGCTCACGGTAAGACGCTCCTTGCACTGTGCGTCGCTTGAACTTACGTTATGGGCTCCAACCAAGACCGAGTTTGCTGAGCCAAATGTCTGCCTGACACCGTTTGCACAACCCTCACAAGCTACAGACACGATTCAGCCTCAGTTGATTGGTCAAAGGGCACCAAACCAAGCATTAGTCATTTGGTCAAGGGGCACCAAGGTAACTTTAAGTTAGGCTAAACCAGGCTGGGTTTGTGCTCAATGATGACGTTTGTCCATGTAGTCATCGTCCTGATGTTATTTTGTCCTTGCAGTCATCGTCCTCATGGTTGATGTTTGCGGGCCTTGCTTATAAGAGCATCGGCATTGTGTACGGCGATCTCGGTAGGTGGTCTTTCCTCCAATGGTCCTGACAAGGCCCGCACTCCCGAGCTTTGCTCTTTACAAAGGAATTGTTGACTCGGATTCTGAACTGCAAGGCACCAGGAAGTGCAGTCCTTTTTGTTGCGGCTGTAATTTTGAGCGCTTGCAGCATGTTCTGTTGGAACTCTTCGTTTGATCTCCTTCAAAACGATTCATCGTTCAAAGGAGTTCAGCTACAGGGATGCTGCTGAGTCTTGCCCAGCTGACCTTCCTTGTTTCGGTGCTGTACCCCTCTTATGAAACACTTAGAATTTGTTCCCCTGCTGACATGACTTTGCCGCTCTAAGCACTGAGCTCTGACAACCACGTTCATTTGTCTGCAGGCACGAGCCCGATGTACTTGTGGCAGGTAAGAGCCACTGGCCGTCATGATAAATATTTCCATTCTCTTTCTGGGACACTGATGGATTCTTTGATCGGGGATTGCGTAAGCTGGCCTGTGACTGCATAAATCTGTATCAGCGCTTGGCAGAGGGCAGCAGCTCCATGCAGCCAGCCTGTGCTTCTCCAAACACTGCGCATGCAGATCGAATGGCATCGCGACATCAAAAAGTTGACGCCATTTTCCTCTCTTCTCTCTAGACGTGCTTCACGAAGACTGCCACCGAGGAGGACATCATTGGCGCCCTGAGCCTGGTCCTCTGGACCCTCAGCTTGATGATCTTCAAGTACGTCGTCGTTGTTCTTCCCGCCAATGACATGGGAGAAGGTACGCTCACTGTCCTTCCTACCCCTTCGGGAAGCTCCTCAGCTTAGCAATCTTTGAGTACGTCGTTGTTTGTTCATCTCGCCGATGATAAGTACGCTCATTGAAATTTCTACCCCTTCTGGCAATCAATCAGCTTGATGATCTCTAAGTGCGTTGTCGTTCTTCTCCCCACCAACATAGGAGAAGGTGAGCTCACTGTAGTGCCCCTTCTAAAGCTTGTCAGACAAAGTATTCTACACTTATTGATGTGCTCAATGGTATCCTATTACGCCTTAGCGGTGCTGCTGATTCTTTGATAATCTGGATCGAAAGCGGCCCTACTTTTCGGACTTTGCCGCCCATAGTGCCCCCCGATGAGCAAGACTGATGCAACTGCCCGTACAAGAGCCGGGACTGAACACCGCCAGGATTACAGACCGGAATTCTGCCCTGCAGCTGAAACGTCCACCAACATCTTCCTGCTGTGCCGCTACACTAAGATCACCACCCTCGACCTCAAGCGTAACTTTCCCTTACAAAGAAGCGTGAATTTCACGGCGGAACGCCCCACAAATTCCGCCCGGATTGACAGACCGGAATTCCGCCCCTGCAGGCGGGACGTTCGCCATCTACTCCCTGCTGTGCCGCTACACCAAGATCACCATCTTCGGCCTCGAGCACAACAAGTTCTTGCAGAGAAGCGTGAATGAAAGGCGGCAAACCAAGATAATTTCGACCGGAATGACTGACCGGAATTCCGCCCTGCAGGCGGAACGTTCGCCATCTACTCCCTGCTGTGCCGCTACACCAAGATCACCATCTTCGGCCTCAAGCACGACTCCGACAAGGCCCTGTCCGTGTTCCACCAGGACCCGAAACGCCCCAAGAAGAAGCGGAGCCACCCCGGGCGCGCCGTCGGCAAGGCCCTCGAAAAGAGCCCGGCCCTGCAGAAGATGCTGTTGGTCTTCGTCCTGTGCGGGACGTGCGCGCTCGTGGGTGACGGCGTGCTGACGCCAGCCGTGACGGGTGAGGGCTTTTGGCAGCTCTGCGATAGTTCGAGAGCGTGAAAGGGTCTCTGCTCGACTAACGTTTCTGGCCTTAAGAACTACACGCTTTCTGACGAGCCCGTGTTTTTTTGACGCGGCGCACTTACTTGTGTTTTGCAAAGTACGATAACGGCAGCTCTCTGGGGGGACTGAGGTCAGGGTCACTTCGTCCAACTCTGTGATAGGGTGAAAGACGGCGAGAACATTCAGAGACAGTTCAGCAGAATCGAGTGGGCCGTTCGTTTAGAGTTTTCAAGTTATCGGGTCGGGTCGGAAGTGCCCGATCCGAGGGGCATCAGGTTCCGTGTCATCCGATCGAAGATTCCCACAGCCTGAGGTCAGCCGGCTGATGTATCTTAGGAGGGCGGTTTTCGATCGCGAAGGGGGGGGGGGGGCAACTGAGTGCAACAATTCTATGAAACGCTTGAGTGCGGAGGAGGGTGCATGCGTTACGTCGCCAAACACGCTCGTCCCGCTTTCTGCGCAGTGCTGTCCGCCATGACCGGGCTGCAAGTTCCGAAGGAGCTGCTCAGAGAGGACGGGTCGACCATCATTCCCAACGGTGAGCGACCTCGTATGATTGATCTCGTATTGTCTCGTACGATCCCGTATGCGTATGACGGGCTGCAAGTCTTAGAGGAGCTTCTCAGAGGTGACAGCTCGACCCGTGTGACCTCGTATAAGTGGTTTCGTGTGGTCCCCTGTGATCCCGCATGGTACTTTCATGTGACGGGCTGCAAGTCTGAAAGGAGCTTCCCAGAGATGAAAGCTGGATCCGGTCAGTGACCTCGTATGAATGCTTTCGTATGGTCTCGTAAGAGTTCGTATGATGATCTCATAGGACGGGCCTGCAAGGCACGAAGGAGCTTCTGGCAGAGGACGGCTCGACCGTAAATTCCGCCGGTGAATAGGGTCATTTGCTTTTCTTCCTAATTTCGTACTTCTTCTTGCGGTTTGTGATCTGGTGCTTGCAGTTTCTGCTTTCATGTGAATATTGCACGAGCGCAGTATTTGGTCCACAGGATCATCCTTTCTCAGAAACTAGAAGTCCACGCGGGTAATGAAGCAGTTCCCTTTACTTTGAGCTACAGGCACCGACGAAAGTAACAAACCCCGGATCCTGCAGAGCGCCGCTCCTTCCCGCGTCGTTTACTACTTTCCCTGATCATTGCATAGATGCAATCCTGACAAAACCTTGTTAAAACGTTTTGAATCCAGAAAGCTTTGCCCGACTGTCGCCTTCCTACCCAGGAGGCGTCGATCTCAAAATTTAGCCTGTGAAGCTCCAATCAGTAGGATTTACTACCCACTAAAAACGAAGCTCTTTCGGAGGGACTTATCTGATGCATTGCACAATCCACTGCAGGCGCCGTTATTGCCGCGACTTGCGTCATCATGGCCATCATCTTTGGGTGCCAAAGACTTGGCACGAACAGGATCAGCTTCATCTTCGCTCCGATCCTGATCAGCTTCTTCGTCCTCAACGCGGGCATCGGGATGTACAACATCCACACGTGGAACCCTGCCATCTTTAAGGTATCTAAAAAGATTTGTAGGGTCTGATGGTCTGAGGGTCTTGAAATTTACAGGTTGCGGGTTGAGGGTTTCAAGAGTTCTAGGAATTTGGGGTTTTACCCGCTGCTTTCTGACTCATCACGCTTGGCATTTCATTTTGGCGGTAATCTGGCTAGACGGCCCAGGATCAGGATTCCTAACACTGCCAGAGTGCCTCTTCCATAGCAGTCTTGCGGAGAGTTTGGAGATAGGTATTCATAAGCATCTAATTTGTTTACAAGCAGTTTCTAGCAGTCCGTACTTCTACAGACTTCGGGGATCCGTACTTCTACAGACCTCTCCTCAAAGCCACCCGTCTTTGAGCCGATTTTCCTTTTGTCCGCCCCTTTTTTCCGGATGTTTGTTTCGTTTTCTCTCCCAACAAGTCACCAGCACCTAGCAGCCGCTTAGAGGGTATTCTTTGCTTCGCCCAGAGACGGTGCTTGAGCTTACCGATCATGCGAAGCTGTCTTGAAGGCAATCGTTTGAAAGTGGGAAGCAGTGCTCTATAACCGTAGACGGAGCAAACGAATATTCCACCGACTGCGCTCAAGACGTCATCGTTGAGAGCTAACTGCATCCAACGTGACCTCATCCCACTTTTCACTCATAAGTTTCGGTTCTAGGTTGAGTTGAGCCAGGTTAAGATACACAATTCGAACCGGGAGGACGCATCAAACTAATATCCTAGCCACAAACCAACATTTTCCGCATCCGTACCCATACTACCCCCCCGACTTACCCCACCCGTTCCCCAGTTACTGACCGATCTCAACCTGGCTTAATCCTAAAATCAAACCCATTTTCCATTGGTGCAGGCGTTCTCTCCCCACCACGGCATTATGTACCTTGTCCGCAACAAAAAGGAAGGGTGGATCAGCTTGGGCGGTATCTGCCTCTGCATCACGGGCGTGGAAGGCCTCTTCGCGGACCTGGGACACTTCAACGTGCAAGCGATCAGGGTGAGGGAACAAGTATGAGATCCTCCCCCCGCTGATGTCAGCAGAGCTCTTGGCGCCCACGTCAGCAGAGCACTGTTCAGGCGCGCTCTCAAAAAGCTGCCCCTCTTCACCTCTAGGACCCTCTTCCTTCGCCGCCCCTCCCGCACTGCCTGCGTCTTCACTATTTGCACCAGCCCCGTCTTTCTTCTCGCCCTCATCCATTTCCCGCGCTCCACTTTTTTCCGGTCCCCCTCCACTGCTCGGCCCATGCATCGTGCGCTGCGCTGGTCTCCTGATGGTGGTGGCCGTCCCTATGCCAACGCTATGCTAATGCCGTCGACCTGGTCAGATTGCAAAACGAGTCGCGGTTGGAAGTATTGAGGGGCGATGCCGCGTTGCAACCCACATTTTCAATGGGTACCCACCTCTCTGCCAAGTATTTCCAAAGCATAAGGAGTCGACCATCTTCTAACGTTCCGTCAGCGAATTTGACATCAATGCACAAACCCTTGACAGAAAGGAGGTTGTCAGGATCAATCACAACGATCTGCATCGGAGCTGATGTCTTGGGAGGGGCGATCCAATCGCATCAAAGCGAATGCTGACTGTCACTTACACTATCTCAGGCAAGCACGCTCACAGTGGTCTACCCCAGCCTCCTCCTGATCTATCTCGGCCAAGGGGCGTACCTGTCCCGGAACCCGGGGGACACTCCTCAGGCGTACTTCAAAGCCATTCCAGAACCCGTGTTCTGGCCCGCTTTTGTCGTCGCGACGCTGGCAACTATGGTGGCTAGCCAAGCCATCATCTCTGGTGAGCCCGCCTTCACTCTGGATTGCAAGATCCCCAGAATATCGAAAGAAACCCGAACAAATGAAACCCCGGGCATGGTGTTCTTTTCCAACGGAGTCGTGAGGAGTCAGCCGGAATAGTTTCTATAGGGACTGGTACTCAGATTGCTTCGGCGAACGACCGGGATGACGTCGTGCAGGATCTCTCTTAGGAAGCACGCGACCCTTTGCACCACGAAACTAACCCACGGACAACCAGACTGCCTGAAACTAGAAAGTCCTTTCCCTTGGAAGTTTTGCGATGAAAGGTTTTGATATGAAGTTACGGATCTCTCGTTTTCGAAGCAGTGGATCTGCTGGGGTAAGTACGGGGTTACTCGCTCAAGTTTCGATCTCGGTCAACGCGGCCAACCCGGTAAGGGTTCCGGCCAATAAGATCACGAATAAAAATGCGTTACCGTTTTAGGAACATGTCATGTCAACAAGGGAGGCAAAGACGTGCGTACGGAGAAGCGGTCATTCTGATGGAATCGAATCGCAGTACTGTGTCTCAACTGCTCGGGATGGCAAGGCCTCCACTTACTAGACGGTTCTGGGATCAAGCATCCTTTTCTGGGGACTTTCTGTGCTCCAATTCACAGCTCGAGCCGAACAATGAAAGGTCTAGACCATACTAGACTGATGGGCAGTCGACATCCAGACCTCCATTTGACTGCTCCAGATCGATCTTGCAAACTGGGTCCCTACACACTGCTTCAGTTTCACTGCCTGAAGAAACCAGTCGATCTGCAATTAATGAGCCGTGCGTATCTCGTGCAGGCGTTTTCTCCATCATCTCGCAATCCATGTCGCTCCAGTGCTTCCCCAAAATGAAGGTCATCCACACGTCCAAAACGGTGCAAGGCCAGATCTACATCCCCAACGTCAACTGGGCGCTCATGACTCTCGGCATCGCCTGCGTGCTCGGCTTTTCGTTGCCACAGCCGTCCGATATGCCTCTCAACGGAGATGCTTTGGGCCACGCGTTCGGTGAGTTTCGCCTGTTGTCAATGCCGGTCTAGACTTCTACATATTCTTGATCGACGGCCTGTATCAAAAGGTCCCGTTCCGCAGAGCCGATGGCATCGCTGCTATTCCCTGGCCTGTTGTATTCTTTCTGGAACATTGGTCGTTGAGGGATTCATTTTTGAAGTGCACATGCGGCGTCTACGTATTAGGCGTCCCTTTTGTGTGACGTGTCAGTTTTTCGTCAGATTCCTGAGCACTTTTGATCATTGATGAGCACTTTTGATCATTGAATAGCTCTGTGGAAGCTGCAGATGTGGCAGTCAATACTCCGGTGACTCATCCTTGCCAAGACCCGTTTTCGAATGACTTCATCCAACGACTGTCCAACTCAGAGCGTTCGCTTGACTTGACCACACGAAGAGAAGTCACGGAGAGAGAAAGTCGTAGCAAAGCTCCTCAACCGGGTGCCTCGACTCTGCACGATCGCACATATTCTCACAATTCTTGTGATCTGGATCTTGCAGGTATTGCTGTGATGTGCGTAATGATCATCACCACGTGCCTCGTGACGCTCGTGATGCTCGTTATCTGGCGGACCCACGTGGTGGTCATTGCGATATTCTTCGGCTGGTTCATGTTCATGGAGTCGATCTACCTCTCGTCCAACTTGTTCAAGGTAAGCTCGTATTCTGCATGGACATGGACAGTCAGTAAGGTCATTTCACCGGCGGAACCACATCAGGAACCTCAACCCAGGCTTTGCTAAAAGAACGTTTACGGTGGCTGGGTTCCACGATGTCGGAAGTATCTGAAGTTTGGAAGGGTGACGGAGAGAAAGGTTTGTAGAATCTTTTCTTATGTTCGGGCTTATATCGCAAGATTCTACTCTGATTTGTGCCATAATCGGGAGAGCGATCGCTACAATGATGATCACAGCGGCAAGCGACATAAACAAGGAAGCTTCGCGAACAAGTTTGTGCAGTGTTCTTTCACGCGTCGTCCTTACTTAGTCCACAACTTAGCTAAAAGGGACCTCCTCTTTGCTGGTTCGCTTGAGGGCTTTCTTTGGTGTACGTCCGAGACTCTTATCCGCAAGCGTTTGGCAGTCTTTGAGAGTCTAGTTTTGTACTCTCTTCTGACACCTTAGCATGTTGCAGCTTTAACGCTGTGCCTCCTTGGAGCTTTGTCTGCGGGCGACAAAGCTCCGATTTTAAAACGCCAGAGGTCTGCCGACTTCGATATTTGCCAGCATGCTTCGCTCGCGTTTTCGAAGAGGCCCGTCGTCGACTCTCCCTCGATAGCTCAACACGTCTTCTCGCGCTCCCCCCTTTAACAAGCCGGATCAAGGACCTCTTTTCGACAGTCCCATTAAACCAGAAAAGCGGGCAGCATAAGCTTTCAGTCCCCGCAGTTCGCGCAAAGTAATAACTTGCCGCTCATTGCCATTATCCGTTGCCGCAGATTGCGCACGGCGGCTACGTGCCGCTTACCATCGCCAGTGTGGTGCTTCTCATCAGCTACAGCTGGCATTGGGGCTCTACTAAACGTTACTTGGTGGGTTGCGGCATGGGAGCCCAGCTGGAAGACGTGCTGGTTCCGGATGAGAGCGCTTACGCTCCGACCTTCTCTTCTGATGACGAGGTGAGAACTGCCTTTGAATTCTTATGACGAGGTGAAATTGGCCTGTGGATGCTCCTCCTATCACCCGTCCTGCTTCAAAGGGCAAAGAGAAGAGCTGCATCCATTTGCGAAGTTCTAGAGCTTACGCTCCTGCCAAATGGACAGCTGTCAACATTCTGACGTCAGTGTTGGCGACCTCATTGACGAGTGGCTCTCGAAAGCCACGTGGCCTGCTGCCGGTAAATAGTTTGCAGTCCGAGGGCAGTTGATTAAAGTGTTAGAACTGCTGTTTTGAATCCCGAAAAGCTGCTGACTGGTCCATTTCTGAGTTGCGGATTCTTGATCAGCATACCGCAGAATCGAGAAAGTCGCGCTTGAAGTCGCGGCCGCCTTTGTCTGTCAAACATTCAACCGCTTTTGAATGGCCGTTCAATGTGAAGAGGACCTCTGACTGGAACAAGGCTCGAATATACTTCTCACAAAAAGACGGGAGCTCGGTCGGCCTCCCTCCTCTCGCGACCTTGGCATCGTGCACGAATGTGGACGACGATTTGACTGAGCTTTTCCTTTGATTGTTCAGGTGCCAAGGAACCCCTCCTTACACTTCGAAACCATGGAACTCCGAATCTCCATGATCCTAAATCCTGGAACCCTAATTCGCATTCCCAGGACATTCCAAGGGGCCCCAAGGAACCCCTTTCAACACTCAAAACCCTAAGCCTTCAGAATCCCAGGAAAGTCTCACAACCTCAACTCCCGTTCAGCTTCAGGACATTCCAAGAGGCCCCAAAGAAACCCCTCCTTAACACTTCGGGAACCTAGAACTTCAAAGAATCTTAACCGTAAAACCCTTTCCCCAAATCAGGACATTCCCAGTGGCCCCAAAGAAACCCCTCCTTAACACTCCGGAAACCTAGAACTTCAAAATTCTACAAGAATCTTAAACCCTAAAACCCTTTTCCCAAATCAGGACATCCCAAGTGGCCCCAAGGAGCCCCTCCATTACCGCCTCAAGAGCTCCGGTCAGAAGGTGATCGTAACCAAAGGCGCCGCGCTCTTCTACTGCGACACCATTTACAGACTCCCTCCACACTTCGCCTTCTCGCTGAAGGCGATGCCCGCGGTTCACGAGGTCATGGTGTTTATGTCGCTCAGAGAGGTATGTTTGCTCCGCTCCTTACGTCTACACCCGCTTTCTTTTCTTTTTCAAGAGATCATGGAGTTTATCTCGCTCAGAGAGTATGTTTGCTCCATTCCTTCCGTCTGTACTCGGTTTCTTTTCCTTTTCAAGAGAACATGGGGTTTATTTCACCCAGAGAGGTATGCTGCTCCACTCCTTCCGTCTGTACTCACTTTTTTTCCCTTTGTCACGAGACCAAGGTGTTTATCTAGCTCAGAGAGGTGTCTTTGTTCCTCTCCAGTCCCTCGGTAAACAGTACGTTTTGGCCCTTGCTTATGGGCTGGTTACAGGTCCAATGACCGGAATAGGATACGTCTGACGCAAGTCTGGTAAGAAGCCTGGTAGCAAGCCAACACTTGCCGTGGTCTACGTTTGGTTTTCTCGTCCTTGTTCCTCCTTTGCTTTATACGTTGTGTACAAATTTCGCTTGTTGCTCTTCACTGCTTTTCGCTCTTTGGGAAACCTTGCTAGCCCTATAGGTCGCTCTGTCCGTTCGACTCCGATGTCCTCGACCATCGACGCATCTGCCTCCGCGATTCACGTGCAACCTTTGAACAGGGCCCCAGCATTGCGCCTCCAACCAGCACAAAGGGGGCAAGTATCGTGTGGATTGGGTATAATTCTCTGAATACCACCACGTCTGCAAACCTCTTCGAAACGTACAACCTTCTGTCAGTCGACCGAGATTAACTCAACCCCACCAAAATTAACCCAACCCCTTAAGTGGAGATGTCCTGCTCAAACCCACGCCCGTGGCAGGACCCTCTTTACGACAACGTCTATAACCCGCTTCGAACTCATACAACCTTCTCTCTGTCGACGAGATTAACCCAACTCCGACAAACTTAACCCAACCCCTTGATTGAGGTGTCCTGCTCAAAGCGACGCCAGTGGCAGGACCCTCTTTACGACCACGTCTGTAACCTTCTTTGAACCCAACAAGCTTCTCTCCGTCGGCCAGATCGACTTCACCCCGACGAGCTTAACCCAACCTTTTGAGTGGAGATGTCCTGCTTAGCCCGACTTTGG